CCTGAGGGGGCAATCGCGAGCAGAAAAATTCAAAAGTCTGAAAAGTCCCTTTAAAGATTATTCTGTGAATTGTTTCTCTTAAATTCTTAACAGATGTGTCAAACCTTCTCTTTGTAGAAAATGGGTCAACAGACCCCCAGACCGTTCAACCGCCCACCTTCAGCTCTCATTCACTTCGTCCCTCACAGCGTGCTGCCTTGGCCAGCAAGCGTTACCTCAGGACCTTGGCATGCCACCAGCGCTGCTGCTGCTGCTATCTCAGACCGTTTACTCCAGATTTACTCCTCAGCTGGTCAACCGTCCGACCCACATTCACCTTAGATCCACCACTCTGTCGGAGGCTCATTAGCAGAAACGTTTGTGGATGGAGATTAACGTAGTCCACGCAGCTGGCTGCTGGTTTGGTCTGTGTTTATGCAAGTTTCATGAAACAAAATCTGTCTCTTGGCAGCGAGGACACTGTTGACTCACTGGGTGAATGATAGGAAAAGTGTGTGTAAGTCGGCCTCAAGCTCTCGCTGCATGAACGTGGGACGAAGCAGGTCCAGATCAGATGTAGAACCGTCTTTCACCTCGAGACGCATATCTGCTGTAAAATCAGTGAAACTCAGCATCGTGTTGGATTCATAAAATAACTGCAAGGCTGCTGGCGGTGAAACATCTCCGCACATCTCCGGTGACCACACAGAAACATGGAGAGCTGCAGTAACAAAGATCTGAAAGGGTCTATCAAACCCAGCAGGGTTGCAGGAACGTCTCACCCACAGAAACCTCCATCACAGAGCGTCTGATGTGCCGCGGAGAGTAAAACACTCCCTCAGCGCACACAAAGAAAAGGAGGAGCACAGATTAAACAAGCAGCAAACCAGAGGAAACTATTCATCACATTCAGGATGCTGTGGCCTTTCTGCCCTTTAAACCACAGGCTATTGTATGATGCGTTCATGTGCCCCAGGAGAAATCAGTTTTGTTGTCATCAAAAGTCTCAAGTGAAAAAGAGAGCAGAAAGTAGCACGAGTTTCTGCTTTTAGGAAGAACTGTTATTTTGAAGTAAGTCATGCAGAGTTGTGTTTTCTTTTGGGCTTTTTTGCAGCTGCAGAATGGAAACTGTGATAAGAGTATGGAAAGCCACTGTGTGCATAAAGGTCTGAAATAGAATTGTAAAGGGTTAATTTACATTTATTTAACGAACCATAAGACATGATATTCCATAGTAAATATGAAATCAATCTTATGGATCTTTGGGTTATTTTAACCAGAAGATTGAAGCTTTTTATTGCAGGGATTATGTAACACTTTGTATTAACTGAGAGACAAGAGAAGAGAGAGTCACCTTTAAAACGTTTAAGAAGATTTATTTTTAAACAATTTTAAACAAGACTAACTCTAAACTCTAAGTGAATGAATGGATCTTGGTGTCAATGAGACGTGAGATGGATGGTGTGTGTGTGAGTGACGTTGTAATCAGAACTCTCGTATCCGGAGAAGCAAGTCTGAGGTGTTGTGATGTTTTGCTCTTAAGCTATGATCAGAAACACATGAGACGCCATTTTGTCGCTCCACACATACCCTTAGGATGAGACTTCCTTACAGATCCAGAATGCCAGGTCCTCGGACCCCCCTTTCGGTACTGGAGCCGATGAAACAGCGTCAGCAGTACGACAGACTAGTCTTGGGATTGTCTCCAGGTAAAAAGCGACAGTTGGTTGACAGCGTCAGATGGACCCGGAGGGTCAGTGAGTTCAGCTTTTATTCTGAAAGGAACTGTTGCTTGGTTGGTAAAATGCAACAGATTTTATCCAGCTTGTTGGTTCTTTGCTTAAAAAGGAAGTCCGGATGGCCGGTCTGATACTTCTCTTAGCATGCGGTGAACTGGCCTTAAGATGGTGTGGGGACTGGTTTTATTAAGCTGGATGTTTTGTTTTACGGTCGAATCAAAGCTAGACAAATTTATAAACACCACAGAGACTATGCCACGCTTCAGAAAGGAAGGTTCTGATTGGATGAGAAAGATAAAATGTGTCATGCGTTTACATTACGTGTGATCAGGATGTCTAGTGCAGCTAGATTAAAGTCATATTACTTATTAAAACTTAGTAATCATAACATTGTCATTTCACAGGTTGGTCCACATTATTACTGACTAACACTTTGTTTGATTAGCTTTATTAAAAATAGAGTTCTTTGATTTATTAAAAAAGGAAGAGTCCTTTGTCTTCATTCTTCTCTTGGGCTGGAAAGGAAGCAGTTTAGAAGCAGATGCATGACCTTGAGCAATATCTCATGCAGATTAGTTCTTGCTGAGGAGAGGGGGAAAATGGCTTTGAGGTGGAAAACAGTCATTTAATTCCGTTACAAAATCAAGGACTGGAATAGAAAAGGGAACTCCCCAAACTGCCCCCAACCACATAAACACAGCTCAAATACCTGATTGTATTTTTACTCTCCTCACAGCCGCAAACCTGCCAACTGGGACACTCCTTTTAGGGGTTGGGCCAAACGTTTGTGACAGTCGACGGTTTAGATTAGAGGTGGAAAAGACAACGTAATCTGATACTTCCTGTTTGCTTCCTGTTTATATTTGCTACTTCCTTTTATGACAGACAATGAACTGTCTGATTTTTCCTGTAACTAAGCTTTAACTCAGCTTGGTTGTAATTAAATTCCTTTCCGCCTGTTTATCTTCATGCCGGGTAATTACGTGGAGACACTAGACCGTGTATTTTGGCTGAGGCTTCGTGTAATCTCTAATTAGGAGGGAAAAGTACTAGAATAAGAAAAGACACGGAAGTTCCTGAACTTTTGCTCTAGAGGCAGATGAAATGAGATGATGGTCAGAATCCGACCAAAGCACTTCAGAACATAAACGTGAACAACAAACACAAATGAGTCATCATTGGATTTCATTCTTCAAATCACACACCTGTATCTCAGATGTTATCATGAGCCTGATTTGTTGTGACTCTCCTTGGTGCAGCTTTTAAAAGTGTCCCGGCGTGTTTTCCCCCTAACGCGTTAACTTGCAGGCCAGCTGCTTGGTGGACTACGTTGTTGTCCGTTACTGAACTTACAGACGCAATAAGTAAGACTTTTATATTAAAAGAATCACAAAACAGTCTAATGTCTCAATCGTGTTGGAAGGAGCCGGCGGGGCGGTTGTCGCTTTTTCTCCTCCGTAGTCTTTGTTTACAATCTGTCCCACCTTCCTGGTTCCAGAGCATGGCAAATGTGAGCAGTGTTGTGGAACGAATGGAAGCCAGTAAAAGGAGCGACCCAGAAGTTTATTTCTTATAACCCTATGAAGCCACGGCATTCTTTTGTTTTACTCTAATATCGGGTAAAAAAGGCTAGGGGCTAACGTTAAGCTAACAATGCTAACTGTGAATTAGAAATTAATAGCTCTAAAAATACAGCATCTCGAAGCTACATTTTTCAGTTAGCAACAACTAGATATTACAGTGAAATATTTTGATCTGCTTAACCTACTGTGTGTGTATGTCTCATCTATGCTCATCGTCTTAGAATCTTCTGGTGCTGATCCGTAACTGGCAACAGTCCTGAAACTCATGAAGAGGAGGGCACTGTTGATACATAATGCAGTAACCACATATGACTCTACTGTCTCTATAAACACTCCAAACCTAAAAATAATCCATCATTCGGTTTTATATCACTGTTTGGTTTAGGAATTATGCGCCTATGAAGAGTTGTTTCAAAAAGTCTACATTTGTGACATCACAAACGGGGAATAGTACTGAGTTGATGTGCAAGAGAGAGTTGCTGCCGGAGGAGCAGCGGATTTACTCCAAGCCCCTCCCGGATATCCGAGCCTTTCAGCTCATAGCAGCCAATCAAGGGATGAGTGGGCGTGGCCAGCTCCAACTCGTTTTCTTAAAGTGACAGTGCGCTGAAACGACTCATTCTGGAAGGTAGTGATGGAAAGTAGTGAAATGTCAAGAATAAAACGACTGTGGTAGCTTTATGTGAGGAAGATTTAGCGCAAAGAACTTCATAAACTTCCTAAAATATTATTTGTTTTGACCACAGAACCATTATAACTTATAACTAAAATTCACTTCAGGATCTTTTTAACTGCAGGTCGTGTTGCAAATGCAGAACTGAGAGAGGCTCTTTGTTTGAATCAAGACAATTTAGACTCAAAACTATTTAATCCTCCACCAGTGAGACCAGTGAGGAGTTACAACCAGGCCATTTGTACACCAGACTACATATTTCTGTGTGTGCATCATCTCATTGGATCATGATTTCAGAGAAAACTCCTCACTCCCACGAGACGACGACGGCGGCTGTGGTAGTGGGGTCAGTGTGGTCACGGCGACTAAATCAGAGCGCCAGTGTGACAGTTGCTTTCAGTGGGACCTACTGACTCATATACTTCACAATCTCACTCCACACAGCATGATTAAGACACCATTGATGTTGCCTGGCTCAGGGCTCCTTTGCCTTTTTTTTTGCAAGTGTGGCTCCTTAGTTCAGTCGCTTTTCTTTAGGGTGGAATTTAAACTGAGCTCAATCGTCCACCTCATGTGTTTGCTGTTGCAGTGAGGATCTAGCATTCGTTTCTACTGCTGTCACACACACACACACACACACACACACACACACACACACACACACACACACACACACACACACACACACACACACACACACACACACACACACACACACACACACACACACACACACACACACACACACACACACACTGTAAGTCTTGTGGCCTCCAGAGGGTATCTCTGTGTGTGATTAATCATGACTGCTCCAAGGACCAGCTGGAAGTGAAGGTCGTGGTCTTCTCACAGCTGACTGATGGTCGGTTTGAAGTCGAACGATTCTGTTTGATAACAAGGAGACAAACTGGACTTCCTCTGGGATAACGAGTAAAGGGTTAGATGATTCATGGTTGATGGGAACGGGGCTGCATGTCTGGATAAACTGATTCTGTGTGACTCTAGGCTTTATGTCTGTTCCCGCAGGTCTCAGTCCTTCAGTGCTTTGTAGCTGTCGAGAATGACCTTACCTCTAAGAGGGAAAAGCCAAGAAGAAGTACTGCTTGGAAAACATCTGCCTTAAGAGGATAAGATCGGCAGCCCATCTGGATTTAAACCTTGCTGACCTTTTGGTTTCACGGGAGAGGAATAGCGGAGCTTTGTCACAGGGAACATTGAAAGACTGGATTTGTTTCTTTTGAACTGGCGTTCTCAGAGGTAACGCCATGTGCCACGTCATTGTAACGTGCCGCTCCATGCTGTGGACCTTGCTCAGCATCATTGTGGCCTTTGCGGAGCTTGTTGCCTTCATGAGTCCGGATTGGCTGATAGGAATTCCTCGGTTGGACCCCAACGGGAGCAGGATGGAGGTGGACTTCAGGGGATACCGGCCGTCTCTCGGCCTCTACAGCCGCTGTCTTCGCATCGACGCCCGGGGCATAGGGGTCAGCTGCGGGCCTTATGCTGCGACTTTTGGGGAAGTGGCTAGTGGTTTTTGGCAGGCGGCCATGTTGTTTCTGGCAGCTGGGACACTAGTGCTCGGGTGTGTGGCCTGCATCTCCATCTTCACTATGTGTTTCCAGAGCATTAAGAAGAAAAGCATATTCAACATCTGCGGACTGCTCCAGGCCATTGCAGGTAAGACGTCAGCTTTTGGCTTAAGCAATGTTCTAAGAGTCCAGTATCCTTCAGAACAAGTGCTCTTGGATTTAGAACCGTATACATGGAGACTTCCTGGTAAATCAAATCAAATCCAAAGACACTTTATTAATCCCAGAGGGAAATTAGAGTTTCAGTACACACAATTCAGAGACCAGACATACATGGGCAAGATACATGACAAGAATTGGTGACTGTGGTCATTCGCGACCCTGAATCGCGCTGCCTTAATAGAGATAAAAGGGTTTACATGAGGATTGGTTCAGGTGGAGGGAAAAAAAGGCACTTCAGAGTTACCCTCCACCGGGAGGGCAGCTTTGCTCTGCAAAAAAAAAAAAAAACACCTCAGACAGATATGCAACAGACAACACAACATCACATGTTAATAGGAAGGTGGGGGGCGCTGGGATCCTGTTTCCCCAGCGAGAGCAGCCATGTACGGCGCCACTGTAGCCACAGGTGGGAGGGAGATCTTGGGAGGAGCGCAGAGCACATTGTCTCCTGCAGGTTGATGACCTCACCAGGCTGAAGTCCACCAATCCGAAGGCAGGGCGGGGGGGTAGGTCGGGTTTTCACAGCATCTGTCCGCAATCCTTCGTGGGGGTTTGTAGCCGCTCAAGGCTACCAGGGCGTCAGATTCAGATAACAAGACTTTGTTTGGGTCAGGCTGAGATAATTTTCCTCTCTGCCTTCAGTCTTTAAACTGATCATTCCAGTCCTTCAGTGAAGCCAATTTAGGTTTTTAAACATGTCCACACCGTCCGGTGACTCTCTCCGAGATGACATCCATTTTGCGCACTAATACCGGCATCGCAGCTAGAACATTGTCCAGCTTGCGATTCACCTCGAGTAGCGTCCCAGTCTGTGAGGTCTCCACACGGCTCCCGTCTTCCCAAATTTCCAGAAAACCAGATATCCTCCCACTCCAATCAGAAAATATCCAGTGATCATCAGACCAAACATCCACACGTCAAAATCATATAATCTGGGTTTTTTTTCATTTAAACTTCTCATTTCTAATTAAGTCAAGAACACACATTCATGTGAGCTCAGATGAAGCTGGAGAGAACCAAATTACACGTCAACGGGCTTTAAAGCCTAGACTGTGCGTGCACTGTGGTGTGAAGGGCCTGAGGGGGACTGCACTGTTGGGACTTGACTTTGCTAACTGGCAACACAGTAAAATTACATTTCACTTCTCCAAAGGTAGAGTTGTCCTCTATACATGCATCAAAGGGAAATCTCTATTTGCTAATCTGAACATATTAGTTGGGTAGGCAGATGTTTGTGTTAGGGTTAGGGAGATAAAAGAGTGCAGGTTAAGTTGTGTCTCCTCTCAGCAGCGTGGTTCGTTTTATTTCGTTGTTTACTCAAAGCTAACCTCCCTCTTTCTGCTCTTCCCCCAGGCCTGCTGCTGATGGTGGGCCTGATGCTGTACCCAGCAGGCTGGGGCTCAGAGAAGGTGATCGGCTACTGCGGCCCCGAGGCGCTGCCGTTCTGGCCCGCTCTGTGCTCGCTGGGCTGGGCGTTCTACGCAGCGATAGGAGGAACCGTTGCAGCATTCCTGTGCTCGATCCTGTCTGTACAGGCTGAGATCGCAACTTCCAGCGATAAGGTCCAGGAGGAGATCGAGGAGGGGAAAAGTCTCATCTGTTTGCTCTGAACTGGAGTGTGAGGAAACACCTTTTAGCGACGTTTCTTGGATGTGCATGTCTGGAAGGAGGACGTCCTGGAGGAAATTCTTTTTTTTATTGTCTGGATAAAAGATGAAAGACTAAAACTTGGGTTAATGACTCTTCTTCTGGTTTAAATCTCCTGTGTAGCACTGATAAACATTATCAGTGTTTTTTTTTTTACATTTAAAGATTAAACTTATTTTTTAGAACATGCTGCCTTAGAGACTAACATTCAGACAAACCACAGTCACTTTTTCCCAACTGAGTCGGGTTGATCAGCTGCTCAGTGGGACTCTTGCTGCATCCCGTCTGAGGATGCTTTACGGTTTCTGCACATTATTTACCAAATAAGCTGTAATAACTTCCATTAAGGGATGTTTTCTTACATAAAATACTTTATGTCCCACGGATCACTCAGCTGTTCATTTCATAAATCCAGAAAATGAATTATTTTCACTTCTTACGTGTGTTCTTGCTGTGTCGCATCTCTAATTCCATGCTGTAGTTCTTTTTTAAAACACAGAGCAGTTTTGTTTACCTGTTAACCCCCCCCCCCCCCCCCCCCCCCACTTTTTCCAAAGTCAAGTTTTGACCCCCGCACTTTTTACCATCCAAAAACAATATTACGCTATATTAAATTGACACTGATTGAGCTCTAGGACCAAGCGGAAAACAACCGTTTGTGTTGAAGCCTGTTTCCCATCAGATACCCCCCCCCCCCCGTGCCCCGCCCCCCCCCCCCCCACTTCTAAAGTGAAAATTATGTCCATGTCTGTAAGTCACTGTAAACACTCAGATCCACGCATTTCTGTGCTTTGATTGGTTGTAGATAAAATGTGCAATAATTTCTCTAATATTTTTGCCTTGAGTTGAATGACCTGAGTCTGAACGTGAAAGTGTTCGGATTTATGTTAAAACCTATTTCTGGTGTTTCTGGTTTTGTGTTTATGGTCTGTTTATGTTACATTAACACGTGACCACATAAAATGTTACAATGAGTGGCTGTTGTGTGTGTGTGTGTGTGTGTGTGTGTGTGTGTGTGTGTGTGTGGAGGGAGATGATCTGTACACGTTGAATTCAAGTCCGTCTTTGATAAAATGATGCGATAGTGTGTTTAAGCTGCAGCTTGTCTTGTGTTTAACTTTTATGAGGAAACAGCGACATCTAGAGGGAGAAGATGGTCAAAACAGGAAATAATCCCAACACAGGGCTTTGATCGGGTTAGGAGATACTGCCACAGATGATAAAATTTTATTTTAACTTTGAAATAAAGAAATTTGCAAACATGTTCAAATGTAATGTTAAAAAAATGATTAAAATTTTCTCAGAAATGCATGATTTCCACAAACCATGACGTCACAGTTCAGTTTCACCCAGTTGGGTGCAACCTCTACAATCCAAAGAGCTGTTTTCCCCTCAGTTCACGGGAACCAAAATGTTACAGGACCTTTAGAAAAAGGTCAATTTGTAGTTTTTATGAAGTATCTGCGTTAGACGATTAGGCGGAAAAGTTGTTTTCTCAGTTTTCTTAGAATAATGTGAGAATTCCATGATTTCAGAATTTTATCCTGAGATTGTCAGAAATCTAATTTTATTCCTCGTCCATTAACATCAAATCTTAAGAGATTGATTTTCATTTTTGAAAAGAAAAAAAAAATATATTATTAGGTCTTAAAAATAAAAACTAACTTATTTGAAAAAATGAGGTAGATAGATCTAAAAATATTGCTGCTACTTTTAGTGTCATTCTGTTAAAATTTGACTCAATAATTCAATGAAAGAAAAGTGGCTTTAACTGCATTTTTATACTGATATCGTCGTCGTCTTCCTCCGCTTATCCGGGTCCGGGTCGCGGGGGCAGCATCCCAACTAGGAAGCTCCAGACCGTCCTCTCCCCGGCCACCTCCACCAGCTCCTCCGGCAGGACCCCAAGGCGTTCCCGGACCAGATTGGAGATGTAACCTCTCCAACGTGTCCTGGGTCGACCCGGGGGCCTCCTGCCGGCAGGACATGCCCGAAACACCTCCCCAGGGAGGCGGCCAGGAGGCATCCTGACCAGATGTCCAAACCACCTCAACTGACTCCTTTCGATCCGGAGGAGCAGCGGTTCTACTCCGAGTCCCTCCCGAATGTCCGAGCTCCTCACCCCATCTCTAAGGCTGAGCCCGGCCACCCTACGGAGGAAACTCATTTCGGCCGCTTGTATCCGCGATCTCGTTCTTTCGGTCATTACCCAAAGCTCATGTCCATAGGTGAGGATTGGGACGTAGATCGACCGGTAAATCGAGAGCCTGGCTTTCTGGCTCAGCTCCCTCTTCACCACGACAGATCGGCTCAGCGTCCGCATCACTGCAGACGCCGAACCAATCCGCCTGATATTTAGAGAAAAAAACTACATTTGTAAAAAAAAAATGAAAATCATTTATTCAAATGAAACCCACAAGCATTTTTTTCTAATTTTATTTCATGTTAATACCATAAATATACAAAACTGAAACTATTTCACATGCGACAAAAGCCAGATTTTTTTTACATGTGATTGATAATGAGGGTCAAACTTTACAAAATATACAGGTGTCCCTTTTCCTCTCTGGCTCGGTCGAACAACAGCAAAAACACAGCTCTGTGTCGCCAAATACACCAAGAATACTACCCACTGTGGCAAAGGCTTCATACAAGCAACTGTAAAAGTATAGATGAGAGCACGTGGGCGGGTGCAGCGACGCGTCTGAATAACTTAAGGTGAAACGGAAAGGGAACGCATCACAAAGCCAGATTTAAAAACTAATTTTTATGAACATTTGGTGGCTTTCTCACAGCTTTCAAGACAAAGAAATAACACTTTTTATACATCAAGCACACCTTTCGCAAACACGCCAAACCCTTTTTGCAGCCTAGCTACCTCACAAATATAAAAAACTCGACTGAAACTTCAAATATCACCATAAATAAAAACATGTTTTGACTGAAAAACAATAGATGTGCAACGAGTTGAGAGCAATACTGCCAGGTTTTAATTACGAATCATTAGGAATTCATGAGCTTTTTAACTCCACTGGCTTTTAGGAATACTTCATGTAGCGTCATTCATCTATCATGCACTTCTTCAGACATCACGTTCAATACAGGAAGTGCTAAAGCACAAACAAAATAAAAGCACACATTCAGAGTTCACATCAGTGCTAGTAGTCTGTACAACTTTAGTGTTTTTAAATGAACGATGGCGCCAAGCTCAACTCCTGTTCCTTCGATGCTGATTTTGGCTACAAAGATTTGGCTGCCGGTAGTTAAATACCGACAGAGAAACGAGTGGAGATGGACTGTTAGTCTGCGTGGTTTACACGAACACGGTATCAAGGTGTTTTACGTTTTTAAATAAGGACTCTTTTCTCGAGACAAATCGTATCTTAGTTGCCGTTCGGGTGAGAACAGGAAACGGGACGGCGAGAGGCCACCGCCGAACGGCTCCGGGTTAATAGCAGCGTTGGTGCGAACAGCTACATCCCGTTGTAGCGTGTTCTTGTCAAACATAAAAAAACTAGATGTCGCAAACTTCTTTTCCGGTTTGGATGAACCATCACGTTCACTCAGGACATGCAATCAGGTGTCCCCGCCCCCCCCCCCCCCCGAAGCTCGTGTAGCCTGAGAAACAGGAAGTGGAGGCCGACGGTGCCAGAAACATGGCTAGCTTGAGTGTGCTAAACATGCTAGTAATGATCATGCTGAGCCAGCCCAACCTAAGCAGCACACTGAGCAGGAGTAGATCAGAGGGATCCTGGGGCAGGTTCTTCGATTAGAACCCAAACTTTTGTTTATAAGGAACCTTTTTTCTTTTTTTACCAGAATGACGACGGTACCGTCTCGCTACACAAGCACAGATATCAGATCAGACGAGGTACAGTTTACCTTCAGGACCTCCACATCCACAAAATGGAAACCTAGTAAATAGATCAGTCACTATTTTCTAAGTAAAGAGGTCCAGCCAATCAGGACAAACTAATCAGAACTACGTGCACACCACCTACATACTTTCTAACGCCTCATGACTCGACACTGAAGCAGCTCTGAGGTCATGGCCGCGGCAAACACAAGGTATGCTAGAACGTCTGGCTGATCTGGGATCACCTCGGGACAGTTAGACAAGGAAAAGGAAGGTGTGTGTAAGTGTGTGAGATCAAACCCCGCCACACACTCGGCTCACGCCTCCGATCACTTAGTGGAGGTGAGCAGCCACCTGACTGCATGTGCGTGTTTTGTTGTGGTCGGAAGATAAACGACTCTGGTCCGTTGTTTTTACGCTGCTTCGCCCTTCAGAAGAGAAATGTGCAGAGGAAACATTCTGAAGCATAACCTGTTGGATGTGAGAGCCAGCAGGACCAGAGTTGTGTGTCTCCGTTGTGTCGTTGTGTGTGTGTTTTCGCCTCTTAGTGTGGGAATGTGTGCCTTGTTGGAGTTTCTGTTTAGGGGTGAGGTTTAAAGGCCCCACGAGCAGCATTGGTTGCAGCGTTGGCGGCGGCGTTAGCTGCCGCGGTCTGAACCGTCTTGTTGGACATGACTCCAGTTGCAAACTCCTGCTGAGCCTTCTCGAAACTGGCACCAGTGGTACGGTACAGCGCGTGCACCTGGAAAGGCAGAGACTTTAGGTGGATGTCGAGACTTTCCTCTTCCCATCTACTGTTTAAATGTCAAACTTTATCTATAATCAATCCTGTTGTCGGGCAAATCTCCAAAATTAGTTGATATTTAAAGAGCAAGTCACCCCCAGATCCACTTCTTTTTTGCCGATTAACTATATAAATGAGTGTCTAACCATGCTGTAGACACATGCAGTCGATCATTTGGCACTTAAGTGCATCTTAGTTAAAATTTAAATATTCTGCCTAAAACTGTCATTGTTGCACAGTTGTCAGGTAAAAACTCTGCAATGCATTTAAATGTAATCTGCCATTGCTATAGGCTTAGAAGTACACTATGATGTCAGCTGGTACATTATGAGGTCACAATGTCGTGTGTGTGTGTGTGTGTATTTGTTAGTGGCTCCGCCCTTTCAGTCTGCCAGGCAACATCATTTTTTGCATTTTTCAAATACAGGGTATCTGCAGGTTTAAGGGAGCCAAATTTAAGACTTTTTAAGACCTTTTTTAAGGCCACTTTGACCAAATTTAAGCTATAATTTCCAGCTATTGCCTGGAAACGGTGCTAACCACGTCGCAAACGTGGGATTAACCATCCAGTTACCATTAAACTTGCATCTCCCCATGGCGCAAGCGCCCACTAGCTTAACCAGCTAATGTGCTCATCTAAAAATAGCCCCCTTTCGCAACCAACTGAATGTGTACAGTTTCGCTTACGCCAACATCATACACAAAAAAGCTGAACACTAACTAGACATTCATGAAATTTTTTATAGAAATTCAAGAATCTTTTTTAATGGGTCTTTGTGGTCATTTAAGACCTTTGGAAACTGTATTTAAGGATTATTTGTCATTTTTAAGGATTTTTAAGACCTTAAATTTGGAAAAGCAAATTTAAGACTTTTTAAGGACCCGCGGATACCCTGAAATAGGAAGTGGGAGTGGAGTAAGACTCTGGCAGGGGGTGACTTGCTCTTTAATGACCGTGTTACCTTTTTGAACATAATAAGCGAGCCCACAGACAGTGCGGTGAACAGGGCCGCAATCAGTAACATGATGATGCCCACTGGGATACTGGTGTTCAGACCAGTAAGAGCTGCAATCCAGCCACTGGAAGAATCGAAACAACGGCATGAGCGAATGCACAAAAACCCAGACAGGGGAAGGTCAAAGCACGAGTACCCACCATGTTCCCCAGCCAGTGATGCCGATCGTTTGTAGAACGTGGACCCCAAACTGGCAAATGTAGACGAAGAAGAAGACGAAGAAGCGGAACGAACTATCACTCCTGCAGTGAGGAGAGGAGAAAGAGAAAAGTTAGGAAATGCATGCTTCAATAAATCTTTTCTGCTCCCGCGGGAAAGAAACACAAATCACATTATTGTTGTGTTTCACTCTTCTTCCTGTATAAAGTGACTGCTTTAGCTAAATGCTACATGAAGCAGCCTCATTTCCAACGTCCTTGCTTACCTAAAAGCCCCATAAAGTGGTCTGTACCAGCAGACGAAAGAGCACGGCGTAAACAACAGGAACCAGAGCATGGCCAGGCCAAAATCTACGCCGCGAGACGCGTCTACGATGAACCACGCCAGGCAGCCGAACATGTTCACAAACAACGTGCCTGCGTGGACTGGTAAAAAACAAACAAAGCCACAAAATAAAACCCTCAAACTTTCACTGAATCATGAAGCTGTGGTTCCGATATTGTGACGAGTCAGCTGTTCTACTCACACATCCAAAGGTTGTACATTATCTTGACGGTCTTCTGAAACTCTACAGGAATATCCACGGCAATATCGTGATAGAAACACGGGCCAACGGGGAATTTTTCTGGTAGTGGAGGCCAGTTGTTTTTACGGCCTGTAAGAACAAAGCGAGTCTTGCTCACCGCTGTGTGTAATAGCGATGCGTCCGATGAACGGATCAGCTTTGATCCAGAGAGGTAAAACAGATGAATGACCAATCAGGAAGACGGAGACAGACCGACTGACCTCCTGCCACTCCGTGGGACTGTAACTCTCTCTCCCGACGGTCGAGCTCCGCCGCTTTCTTCTCCAGCTCCTCCTGCCTCCTCAACAGCTCCGCTTGAGCGCGCGCTTGGTCCTGCAGAAGACCCAGAAACATCCTTAAAATGTACAACCCAACGTCTGACAGCTTTCATCTTTTTAGTTCTCTTTAAAACACAGAAAGGTTTTATTTACCTGCAACGTTTCGTTTGCGGCTGCAAACTTCGTCAGGCTGACGCTGATGGTGGCGTCACTTCCTTCTCGCCACTCCGTGAGACTGTAACTCTCTCTCCCGACGGCCCAGCTCCGCGTCCGTCAGCGTCAGCCTGACGAAGTTTGCAGCCGCAAACGAAACGTTGCAGGTAAATAAAACCTTTCTGTGTTTTAAAGAGAACTAAAAAGATGGAATTAGAATTTCAACACAACAAGAACACACCAAAGATCTGACAGCCTATCATGACGGCCGCTAAGGCAAATGTTAAAGCGTGGGGCAAGTTAAAGAGGAAAGGGTTAAGGGTTGCTAGTTTAAACTACACACATCTTTGTTAGTATTAAATAGATCTAAAATGATGCTGCAATCAAAAGCTGAACATGAGGAAAACAGGTTCAAAACATTCGGGATGAAACACAGCAGGTACCTCATCATGTCGCTGTTGGGCCAACAGAAAACAACAGAAAAAGAAAAGATGGAGAATCTGACTAAATGTTGCACATATTTTGTCCTTTTTCACAAAAACGCCAGAGTAGCAGACTGTTATGGTAGCTGTGACAGATGAGCATTACCTGAGTCTGGAGCTGTGAGTAAGCTGGCGGTTCTTCTGTTGGCTTCATGATGGCAGGTTGTGTGTTCTGGGAGGGCGCAGGCGTGGATTTGGGGGCATTTCCAGGTGCTGCCTGCAGACCAACATAGATTATAATGTTCATACTTATGCAAAAAAATAAAAAATAAAAGACAGACATTGAGTAAAAGCTCTAATTAGGCCACGGTGACGTTCTTTGTCAGCTAAATCCTCAGTGATTATAAAGTGTAGAGTTGTGACTAATATTAAAAAACCAGAAACACCCAGATGTTAAGCTAACCGTTCTGGCGTCTGTGAAGGGGTTATACTCCTCCAGACCACCAGGGGGGGCCGACCGTGTCACCTGGGTCACCGAAGGATCCTACAGGGGAGAGAAATCCAAGCACAAATGAAAAAAGCTACAACATAAAATCAAATCTTCATATTTTATTCTTTTAAATAGCTTGATGTTTAGAAGAAAAATAAGTGACTAATTTCGAAATGTCCTAAATTAAAAAAATTACATTATGAGGTAAAACAAAACATTGCTAGATCTTAAAACATTTGAAATAAACTTTTATCATTTTAAGCACCAAAAATAAATAAAATCACAAACACGTTTTTTTTATTTAATCAAACTTTTAACAGATTGAGCTTTAAGAGGGTTTTAAACGGAGCTTTAAACGTGTTATAAAACAAGCGTGTGTACCTATTTTTGCAGACTGATATAATAAAATCATAACTCAGCTGAGAATAACGGTTCCCACTTGTTGAGGCAGCAACCCGTTATGTGCAGGACTGTGTGATACAGGGAAGTGAAACTGAGAATGCGTTTGAATGTTTGGGAAGTCTAAAACAGGGTTTGTTGGATTAGTATGTGCTACAAAAACAAATCAGCAAAGATTTTTATTACAATAAAACATTATTCTGTGATGAGCACACTGTGGTGTAAATGCCTAGAAACAGCTAACTTTTTTATTATTTAGAACACGTTAACAGTTGTGGTCATCGGATCCACAATGGAGCATGGCACAAAAGAAAACCTTAATCACCCAAGAGTCATCAGTGTCTCTGGTAAAGGTGGGCCGTATTGTTTTGGTGTTTATTAACTCACCGAGTATTCGGCAGAAAGTCAGTAACGTTTACAAAAGACTTGCCCGCCAGCGGCTTTTATAAATAAAATCTTTAGCCAAACAGTAAAACCGAAATGCCAGGAAGAAACCTGTAAAGAGCATTTAGCAAGTGTTTACAGGCAAAGCTAACAATAGCAGTTAACGGTTACAGCATTAACAAAACCCACAATACGACTAAATATCGGTGGCGTAATTGGTAGTTAATGTCTCTACAATACGATCGGTCACACTGAATGAACGTGCTGTGGTAAATAGTCCATTTCTCTACTAAGTGAGCACGTCTGGATGGCTGTCCAGCTGTTAGCTAAGGCACCTAGCATGGATGCTAACGTAGCTAAGTAAGCTACCTGAAAGGGATTGCTGAAATCCGGGTCTGCGAAAGGATTGCTGTCAAAATCGGACATTGTGTCGCCTTTCCAATAACAGTTTTCCTAACTGAAGACTCCCCAATACAAAATAGAGGCGCCAGTCCTTTGATTAGACTGTCTGTTTTTGTTGTCTGCAGTCTCCAACGCCTCCAGCTGATGGAGACCTCTTGGTTAGCCTGCTAATCGTTAGCACAAAAATGGCAGGAGGAGACGAGCGGATGGAGATGAGCAACGCGAACGAGTTCCTCAGAGAGCATCTCGTCTGGACAGGTAAATTATCAACAGAACAGTCCTCATGCCTCACAGATAAAGTTTCTTCTAGTCTAAAATGTCATTGCTAGTCAGAATTTAATTTGTAGGATATATTCCAAAAACAAATGGTTACTAGAGCAACACTGAAAAGCTTTAGTGCTCTTTTTGACGTGACTACTTGGAGTGGAAATGTGTTGTGTATGTGCATAAATCACTAGTGAATAGTGAAAAAGAAAAATGTCAACACATCAAAGTGTTTTTCAGTTTTTTCCCTTCAATCCACAATCAGAATGAATTTATTAACAACAAAAATGAACACTGCATTTGTTAATTTGGCACAAATCAAGAACAACAGAGAAAATAATGAGAGACTTTATTAAAATATATATTTTTTGTAAAATTTGGCTCAAATATTATTCTGCTATCATTATTCTATTCCTATTTATTGGACTTCAGCTCATAACATTGTTATTCAATTCAAATTCAAATTCAAAACTACTTTATTAATCCCAGAGGGAAACTGATTGCTGTAGTAGCTCAGAATAATACTAATAATCAAGTCATCAAAGAGTTGTTGTATATTACAATGGCTGTTGGCAGGAAGGATCTCCAGTAGCGGTCAGTGTTGCAGCCAAACTGAAGAAGCCTCTGACTGAAGACACTCTTCCGTTGTCGGACAGTCTTGTGAAGAGAATGCTCAGGGTTGTCCATCATTTTCTTGATTCTCTGGAGAATTCTTGTTTGCTCTATCTCCTCCAGCGGTTCCACAGTCGTCCCCAGAACAGAACCAGCCTTTGATATTAGGCTGTTGAGCATTTTCAGGTCCCTGCTTCTGATGCTGACCATCACCTGATTTATCATTGCCCATTATGATCGATGGAAGAGATGGTTTGAATTTCCTCTTTCTCTGTCTCCGTTTTGCTCCCGCTCTGCTCCCACGCTTGCGTTTTATCGTTTTAGCTCATTTGGGATTTGTGGCTTCAGTTGAGGTATTATTTCAACCTTTTCAATGTTAATCACCTGCTCCTGATTGTAAACCAGCTTGTTACCATGGTGATGCATCATAACAAATGCTCAAAAAGCGAAAAAAGTGAAAAAAATTGCAGTAAAAATCCTCCAAGCTTCACAGCACCAGAAACAGAAAAGTAAAGTGTCCAAAAAATAGTTTTTCTTGATTGCTTGATTATTTCTACTAATTAATAACGTGCTTTCCGGAACTGCGCTGCTCTGGGTGGCTGCATGTTGGAGTAGCTCTGTCGACTATATGTGAGTTTTGACTTTTCTTGGGTATTTTTTCTTCTAGTTTCTCAAGAAAAACTGTATTTTTTTGGACACTTTACTTTTCTGCTTCTGGTGCTGTTAAGCTTGGAGGATTTTTACAGCTATTTTTTAGCTTTTTTCACTTTTTGAGCATTTGTTATGATGCATAACCATGGCAACAGTCTGGTTTACAATCAGGAGCAGCTGATTAACATTGGAAAGGCTGAAATAATACCTCAGCTGAAGCCACAAATCCCAAATGAGCTAAAACGCAAGAAGCGTGGGTGCAGAGCGGGAGCAAAATGGAGACAGAGAAAGAGGAAATTCAAACCATCTCTTCCATCGATCATAATGGGCAATGTGAGATCACTGGCCAACAAGATGGAGGAACTCCAAGCCCTTTCAAGGACTCAGCCAGAGTTTCAGCAGTTTCAAAACCACTGGAGGAGATAATGCAAAGAAGAATTCTCCAGAGAATCAAGAAAATGATGGACAACCCTGAGCATTCTCTTCACAAGACTGTCCGACAACGGAAGAGTGTCTTCAGTCAGAGGCTTCTTCAGTTTGGCTGCAACACTGACCGCTACTGGAGATCCTTCCTGCCAACAGCCATTGTAATATACAACACCTCTTTGATGACTTGATTATTATTATTATTATTCTGAGCTACTACACCAATCAATTTCCCTCTGGGATTAATAAAGTATTTTTGAATTGAATTTGAATTGAGTATTTTATTAATCTAAATTTTACTAGAAACTCTTCTTTTTATTGACATTTTGTATTATTTTGAATACTTCTAAACTTTTATTTTATGTTTGCATTTAAAATCAGAGTTATGTTAGACTAATCATTACACTAAATTAATTATATAAGCTCTTTTATGTCAAATTTACTCCATTCTGGTGTTTAGAATTACATAAGGACTAATGAAAACATATCAGAAACACATTTAGAAATCAGTTTTTACAAAGTTTAAAAGTAATACTTTTCTTTGAAACTGTTTTGGGAAAAATAAATATTGGAAGTAATCTTTTCTAACTTGTCCTTTTAGCCAGTTTTCTCACAATTTCTCATTTATTTACCAGAAACGACCACTTGGGGGCGCTACGATCTAATAGGTCTGCTCGCCTCATTTTGCAGAATATTTCCTCATTTGCCATCAATTTATTTTCATTCAAACCAAGGGTGACCATGTGAAGAACATCAGATCAGTTGACAGCCTGTAAATGTGATTTAAACATTTAAGCACCATTTACCCAGATTAAGCTCCAATTGGAGAACAAATGCTATTAGGTTAAAATCTTACAGTATGTGGTGAATGATGGAGGTGGCACTACTCCTGCTCTCTGCTGGAATTCTGCTGCTCATCCTCAAACAAAGGGTTCACGTTGCCTTTGTTGTAAAGAGGCTTAACACGTCACGCCTTCGAATAAATCATGTTCTTTTTGGTAATAAGTCACTAATCGCCTGTGATTCTTTTCTCTTTTTCCTCGTACATAACGTTTTACTTTGATAGGCTTTGGCTGAACTCAAACTGTGCATTCATCACAATTTACCTGCAGTGCAAACTAACTCACACACACACACACACACACACACACACATGGTTTGAACATGGTTTCTTTAGAGTTTCTTTTTTACATTAATGGTATATTTTTTACAGTAAGATGCCCAAATTTTTATTTGAGACTCGCCGAACGGCATTGAATTCACAGATGAAAAAGATGTGGGTTCAACTTTCATTTTGGAACAATTTTTCAAGCAAGGGAAGGGAATGATCTGAGGATGCAGGAGGACTGACCCATCATAAACCTTTGTCGGCTGTGCTGAAGAGAAAGGTACAGAACCAAATTATTTAATTAATTAGCTGCGCGTCCTCCTGTCCTCTCTCCTCCAGGCCACACACACACACACACACACACACACACACACACACACACACACACACACACACACACACACACACACACACACACACACACACACACACACACACACACACACACACACACAGAATGAGAATCAGTTCCTTCCCTAATCTCGTATTAATGGACCCAATCACAGACTCTATGAATAATCAATGGCCAGTGGTCTGCAACCGCAGTGCTGAGACTTTGAGTGAAACTGAATTTTCCTAATAACACACACACACACACACACACACACACACACACACACACACACACACACACACACACACACACACACACACACGCACACACACACACGCACACACACACACACGCACGCACGCACACACACACAGTCTATAATAAGCTCTGCTCTGTGGGTTGAGTAAATGTCACATGGTTTGTTTGCTACAGAATGTGGAAGATAAACACTTGATGTCATGATGTGTGTATGCACTGTAGGAAGGTGTGTGTGTGTGAAAAGGGAATAGTGTTAGAACAAGTGGTCCGTGTGTACTCGCCCACTCTCTCCTGCCTCTCTAATGCTGCTTTTCCTCAGATGACACCGTGTGGAAACAACCGCTTTGGTTAATAGCCGCTACATTAGTCTCTTAACCAGCTGGCCATGGCCATTTAGAAATGTTCATTAGGTCACCGACCAGAGAGGATAGTTGCGTTGGCTCACTCCCTCGCTGAAAACACACACAAAAAAGGCACAGAGAGAGCAGAAAAACGGGCGTGATGACAGACAGAGAGGGAAAAACTAGCAGATCTGACGACCCAGTGTAAAAAGCCGCAGATGCAGTAATCATCATATTGCCCTGAATAAGAACCTTGTGCTTAATTAGATCTCATTAAGGTCTATGAGTGTTATTTTAGGGTGCTGGAAGGTTGGATGAGCAGCACTTGATATTATGGGTTATTAATGCTGCAACATCTGGTGTCATTCTGGCAACAGCCTCACGGTGCCTGAATAAGCTGGGACATTTAGTGTTCACCAGCAGCTGTGATTGGACGGTCAGACACAGTAAAATTTATGCAGCATTCTTGCATGCAATACAAATATGTCATATAGGTGTGTGTCCACGTATAGCTTAATGTATATAGTGTGCTGTTTGTGTGTGAGATTGTTTGTGCTGATGACCAGTCAGAACATATTACACACTGCAGAGGGAAGCAGCCCTCCGTCGCTGGAAAAGCAATTGATTCTCTATTTCCATATTAATGAGCAGATTTGTTAAGAGCCTGCAGGAGAGGAAGAAAATAACAGGGTCTTCATACGGCGCGACATTTATAAATAAAGCTGATGCAGAGAAAAATGGAAATTAAACCTTTTAGTTTAATAAATTTGAGGCGTCCGCAGCAAAGCGAGCGATTTGCATTTCCATTTGTGGCCAAATAATGAGAGCGCCGGGTCCGTGATGAGCCCGCTAGTGCTGCTTTTGGGCCTCAGACAGTCACACAATCACTCCAGCGTGCAGCCCTACACGTCAACGTCATTAGCTCGGGCCTGTTAGCTCTGCTGCTCGGCTTTCTAAGAGTATTTAGTGAACTAGAGATTCTTATTTAAAAGAGGAATAGGACTGTGCTCAAAGCTAAATCCATACATCCCTCTATTTCCTGCTACTTGGGCGTGACTTTATCATTTTCTTTCATGAAAACTTCTGCAGGTTTGAAGCTATCAGAAACCCTTTCTTTTGCCTCTCAAACACTTGGGCACGCACAGACACACACACACACACACACACACACACACACGCACGCACACACAC